GATCTCACAATTCACCCTCTTGAAGGCCAGCCTCCTCGCTGGCACACAGCCCAGTGTCTAGCTCTAATACCATTTGTAGCAGATATTAGGAGCTTTCTCTTCTGAGCTTCCCCTCAAGATTTTAAAACGCGTCTACTAGGAAAAGGTTTCTATACCCTTATAAAAAATGTTTCGTTCTCATCTCCAACTAACGTGGGATGTCACAGTCAGACTAAATTCAATTTGTAATAAAAAAAAAAACACTCAAACAAGGAAAGCCTTTGTTATATAAAGCTTTCTTCACAACAAATGACAAAGCTTGAAAAATTATCATAAGAAGCATCCTAGCATGAGGTTTTCAATGTTGTCTTCCCCATGGATTCCATTTTTACTTCTCTTTCTTTCAAGCTCTGTCACTTCTTTCCAGTATAGAATCCCAAGGCTTAGTCCTATTGGTGAAAAGTTTCTACATCATTCCAAAGCTCTGGAATTACCTCCTTCGAATGATTTCAAGACATTTTATTACAAACAAACACTCGATCATTTCAGCTATAGGCCCGAAAGCTACGCAACATTCCCTCAAAGATACATAATTAACTTCAAGTACTGAGGTGGTGCAAATTCAAGCGCTCCAATTCTTGCTTACTTGGGCGCTGAAGCACCAATAGATGCTGCTATGAATGGTATTGGGTTTATGACAGATAACGCCATTAAGTTCAATGCTCTTCTAGTTTATATTGAGGTAAAGTTTAACTCTTTAATCCCTTTTTGTTGTTTTGGAGTCTTGTAGTTTTGGTCTAATATCTTCATCTTAGCAGCATAGGTACTATGGAAAATCAATCCCTTTTGGATCAAGGAAAGAAGCACTAAGAAATGCAAGCACTTTTGGATATTTTAACTCAGCGCAAGCAATAGCAGATTATGCAGCCGTTCTTATGCATGTAAAAAAGGAGTTTAATGCTAATTATTCTCCTGTGATTGTTATTGGTGGATCATATGGAGGAAGTAAGTAGTTTCTCATTCGAAGTCCTCGAACTTTTTAATATTCAGTACCTAACAAGACATGTAAACGTGTAACGGCCTAGGCTCACCGTTAGCAGATATTGTCCTCTTTGGATTTTTCCTTTTAGGCTTCCCCTCAAGGTTTTAAAACACGTCTGCTAGGAAAAGGTTTCCACACCCTTATAAAGGGTGTTTCGTTCTCCTCCCCAACCAATGTGGGATATCACAATCCACCCCCTTCAGGGCCTAGCGTTCTCGTTGACACTCGTTCCTTTCTCCAATCGATGTGGAATCTTCACCAAATTCACTCCCTTTTGGGGCCCAGTGTCCTTATTGGCACACTACCTCATGTCTACTCCCTTCGAGGAACAACCTCCTCGCTAGCCCATCGCCCGATGTCTGGCTCTAATACAAAGTTTTTAAAACGTGTTTGCTAAGGAAAGGTTTCTACACCCTTATAACGGGTGTTTCGTTCTCCTCCTAACCAATGTGGGATATCACAAAATGTTTTTTTTATTGACAATGTTAGCTACATGATTCCGTCTTAAATATCCTCATGTGGCACTAGGAGCTCTCGCATCTTCAGCTCCAATTCTTTACTTCGATGATATCACACCGCAAAATGGATACTATGCTGTTGTCACCAAGGATTTTAGAGTAAGATGCTAATATTTCGTAAAAATTTGGTAGAGATATATATGACAGATATTTCATAAACATTCGATATATTTGATAGATTATATTTCGTAGGTGGTTAAATCTCTTAAAGCTATATTTAGTAAGCTGAAATCATATATATACCCCTTAGACAGTGCTTTCAAGATTTACTTTCCTCGTTCGGTGTATTTTAGTCAATATTCCTCTTTACTGTTCTTTGTGTTCATCTTAATCGAGTGTGTGCATTGTTGTGCGATCCTAACAGGAAATCAGTCAGACTTGCTACGAAGCTATTAGGGAGTCATGGTCTGAAATAGAAACAGTTGCCTCTCAACCCAATGGCCTTTCCATTCTTGACAAAAAGTTCAAAACATGCAGGTAACTAAATCGCTGTCTTGTCCAAATTCAATGAAGTAAACTTAACATGTTTTTTTCCATTTTCTAGTCCTTTAAGAAGTTCCACAGAGCTGGAAAACTACTTGTGGTCCGTGTATGCAAGTGCAGCCCAATACAACCACCCAGCAAAATATCCAGTGAACAGGATCTGTGGTGCCATTGATGGAACTTATTCTGGAAATGGAATACTCAGCAAAATAGCTGCTGGTGTATTTGCTTATAGAGGAAAACTCTCCTGTTATATTAATGAGCCCAGAAATGCTACTGAAACTGATGTAGGATGGCGATGGCAGGTAAGATGTCTTAATCACGTTAGCCAAATAAGAGCCCTCTGATACTCATATCTATTTTGCTTACACGGAATTGATCACTACAAGATTTAAATCGGTTTTGTATTGCTATCAATAAGATTTTATGCAAAAGAAGAAAGGAAACTTTGTCAAGTAGATTTGATAGGTTTGAAGATGTAATAGTTAAAGCTTATCGCTAGCCGATATTATCTTTTTTGAACTTTTCCTTTTGGACTTTCCCTCAAAGGTTTAAGACGGGTCTGCTAAGGAGAGGTTTCTACCCCCTTATAAAGAATGTTTCGTTCTCCTCCCCAACTGATGTGAGATTTGACAATCTACCCCCTTCAGGACCCAGCGTCCTCGCTGGCACTCGTTCCCTTCTCCAATTGATGTGGGACTCCAGTGCGAGGCATGGATCAGAGTAGGGCTAGACTCTCTCCCTAGTAGATGGGTTTTACAAACCTCGAGGGGAAGCCTGAAAGGGAAAATCCAAAGAGGACAATATCTGCTAGCGGTGGACTTGGGCATTACAAATGGTATCAGAGCCAAACATTAGAAAACGTGCTAGCGAGGAGGTTGAGCCCTAAAGGCAGGTGGAAACAAGACGGTGTGTCAGCAAGGACACTGGGCCCCAAAGGGAGTGGATCGGGGGTTCCACATCGATTGAAAAAGGGAACGAGTGCCAGTGAGGATGCTAAGCCTCGAAGGGGGTGGATTGGGAGATACCACATCGGTTGGAGAGGAGAACGAAGCATTTTTAAGGGTGTGTAAACCTCTTCTTAGCAGACGCGTCTTAAACCCTTGAGGTGAAGCCCGTATACTTAAAAAGTTTCTTATTTTACTCAGAGATGCAGTGAGATGGTGATGCCAATAAGCACAGACATACACTTTTGATCTTGAAAGCTTCACCATTTACTGCAATCGATTATACGGTGTTCCTCCCAGGCCTCATTGGGTTACCACCTATTATGGAGGCCATGTATGCATTTCAATTATTTCCTTTCCAACACCAAACAATTTCCTTATTTGCAAAATTACTTACTTCATTCTATTTAAACTCAAATTTTAGGATCTACCTCTCATCCTTCAGAGATTTGGTAGCAACATTATTTTTTCCAATGGACTCAAAGATCCTTATAGCATTGGCGGGTAAACATAATAGTAACCCTTATTTATTAACGAATAGAGATGATTTCCTTCACATGTTCTTGATTGTCTCTCTCTTTGACTCTATAGGGTACTACACAATATATCAGACACTCTCCCAGCTGTGTATACAACTAATGGTAATGCTTTGACCTCTTCGTGTTATGCAAGTTCGTCATTCTCATGCCATTCCTGATTTAGTTTGTTGCCACCAGCATAGTCCTCTTTGGACTTTTCCTGTCAGGTTTTTCCTCAAAGTTTTTAAAACGCGTCTACTAGGGAGAGGTTCCACACCCTTATAAAAAAAAAAATGTTTCTTTCTCCTCTCCAACCGATGTGGGATCTCAAAATCTACCCCCCTTTGAGACTCAACCTCCTCGCTGGCACATTGCTCGGTGTCTGGCTCTGATATCATTTGTAACTGCCCAAGCTCACTTCTAGTAGATGTCCTCTTTGGGTTTTCCCTTTCAAGCTTTCCCTCAAGGTTTTTAAAACATGTCTGCTAGAGAGAGGTTCCACACCCTTATAAAAAATATTTCGTTCTCCTCTCCAACTGACGTAGGATCTCACAATCCAGGCCCTTTGAGGCTTAGCCTCCTCGCTGGCACATCGCTCGGTATCTAGCTCTGATACCATTTGTAACAGCCCAAGCTCACCTCTAGCAGATATTGTCCTCTTTGGACTTTCCCTTTCGAGCTTTCCCTCGAGGTTTTAACACGTGTCTGCTGGGGAGAGGTTCCACGCCCTTATAAAAAATGTTTCGTTCTCCTCTCCAAACGATGCAAAATCTCACAGTCTACCCCATTTTGAGGCTCAGCCTCCTCACTGGCACATCGCTCGGTGTCTAGCTCTGATACCATTTGTAACGGTCCAAGCTCACCTCTAGCAGATATTGTCCTCTTTAACTTTTCCTTTCGGGTTTTCTCTCAAGATTTTTAAAACGCGTCTGCTAAGGAGAGGTTCCACACCCTTATAAAAAATGTTTCGTTCTCCTCTCCAACCGATGTGGGATCTCACAATCCAGACCCTTTAAGGCTCAACTTCCTCGCTGGCACATCGCCCGGTGTCTAGCTCTGATACTATTTATAACAATTCACCCTTCTTAGGGGCCCAACATTCTCGCTAGCACACCGTCTGGTATCTGGCTCCAATACTTTGTAACAGCCCAAGCCCACCGCTAGCAGATATTGTCTACTTTAGCTCATTACATATCACCATCAGCCTCACGGTTTTAAAACGTATTTACTAGGGAGAGGTTTTCATACTCTTACAAAGAATGTTTCGTTCACCTCTCCAACCGATGTGGGATCTCACAATATCTTTATCCGACAACTTTCTTGCCTGCAATCAAATCAAGTCCACAATTCCACTGTGGAGCTTATGGTCTGTGGCTGATTTGCAATCCAAATTTTAATGGACACCAAAGAAAGATGAAATAATTATTTGGTTTCAAATACCTTAAAATAAGTGCTAATACCTTCACCAATATTATCAATATCTGTTTGAAAATCAGAACAAACTTGGGAAAGTTTTTGTTATATAAAGGACCTCTTGGTTTTCTCAAACCAAGTCCAAGCAATACCAAAGCAAACAACCTTCCATGAATTTTCCCATGTTTTCATCCCCATGGCTTCCTTTTATACTTCTCATCCTCTCAACCTGTGTCACTGCAACACAGTATAGAATTCCAAGGCTAAGTCCATTTAGCAGAACCTTTCTTCCTAACACTAAAGCTTCACCTGTTTCCGATGATTTCAAGACATTTTATTACAACCAAACGTTGGATCACTTCAACTACAAGCCTGAGAGCTACACATCCTTCCCTCATAGATATATAATCAACTTTAATTATTGGGGCGGCGCAAATTCTAGTGCTCCAATTCTTGCCTACTTGGGCGCTGAAGGGCCACTGGAAGGAGATTTGAACGCTATAGGGTTCATGACTGATAATGCTCTTCAATTTGATGCTCTTCTTGTTTATATTGAGGTATGGAATTACATTTACTTTAGAACTTTTATGTAATTTTCTTATGGTCTAACACTTGTTGTGTTCTTGTTAGCATCGATATTATGGGAAATCAATACCTTTTGGATCAAGGCAAGAAGCACTTAAGAACGCTAGCACTCTAGGCTATTTCAACTCGGCTCAAGCGATAGCAGATTATGCAGCTGTTCTTATACATTTGAAAAAGAAGTTACATGCTAAAGATTGTCCTGTAATTGTCCTTGGTGGGTCATATGGAGGAAGTAAGTAACTTCTCATTTAAAATCTTTAAACTCTATTGCATTGGCATGTAATATAACGTAAATTATTATGTACTCAGTGTTGGCTGCATGGTTCCGGCTGAAATATCCTAATGTTGCACTTGGAGCTTTGGCGTCTTCGGCCCCGATTCTTTACTTCGACGATATCACGCCACATAATGGATACTATTCTATTGCCACCAAGGATTTTAAAGTAAGATCCTAGAATCATTGATGATCTATTTCAACTTTTAATGTTTTTGTAATGGTCCAGGCTCACGACTAACAGATATTGTCCTCTTTGGGTTTTCCCTTATGAACTTTTCCTCACATTCTGTTAGGGGAAGGTTTTCATGCCCTTATAAAGGGTATTTCGTTCTCCTCCTCAACCAAGGTGGGATATCACAGATTTTAAAAGCAAAAATGTTAATGAATTTGCAGGAAGTTAGTGAGAGTTGCTATGAAACTATTCGAGATTCGTGGTCTGAAATGGAAGCTATGGCTTCTAAGCCTAATGGCCTTTCCATCCTTAGCAAGGAGTTCAAAACATGCAGGTATTAGAATGGCTTTCCATATCTGAATTTGATGAAGTTGAAGAAAGTTGTAGTTTTCATATCCATTTGGTTTGTTTTGTGTTTTGTTGTTGTAGTCCTCTGAATAGTTACTCTCAGCTGGAAGACTACTTGTGGTCAATGTATGCGGGTGCAGCCCAATACAACCAACCACCAAGATATCCGGTCACTAGAATCTGTGGTGGTATTGATGGAGCTTCTTCTGAAAGTGGAACTCTTGGCAAAATAGCTGCAGGTGTTTTTGCTTATGAAGGAAAGCTATCCTGCTACAATCTTGAGCCCAAAAATGAAACTGAAACCGATGTAGGTTGGAGATGGCAGGTAAATCTTTTATTGAAGACATCAATATATGAGTAATATGATTACTAATGTGACCGTCCAACCCTACCACTAGTAGATATTGTCCTTTTTGGGCTTTCCCCTCGAGTTTTTAAAACGCGTCTGCTAGAAAGAGGTTTCCACACCCTTAGAAAGAACGTTTCGTTCTCCTCCCCAACCATGTGGGATCTCACAATTCACCCCCTTCAAGACCCAGCATCCTTGCTGGCGCTCGTTCCCCTTTCCATCGATGTCGTTTCCCTCTCCAATCGATGTGGGATCTCACAATCCACCTCCTTCGGGGCACAACGTTTTCACTAATACACCGCCTGTTGTCCACCCCCTTCAGGGCTAAGTGTCTTCATTGGCACACCACCCGGTTGTTGGATGAAAGTCCCACATCGGCTAATTTAGGGAATGATCATGGTTTTATAATCAAGGAATACTATCTCTATTGACATGAGGCCTTTTGGAGAAGCCCAAAGCAAAGCCATGAGAGCTTATGCTTAAAGTGGACAATATCATTCCATTGTGGAGATCCGTGATTCCAAACATCAGTAACCTGGCTATTATACTATTTGTAACAGACTAAACCCACCACTAGTAGATATTGTCCTCTTTGGGCTTTCGCTTTCAACGTGTCTACTAGAGAGAAGTTTCCACACCCTGAATGCTATCTAATTCACATATTTGTTATATTCCCAAAACAAAGGAAGAAGTTTAATAGGATTTTTCACTTTTTATTTGTACATCTATGAATGCTGGTGAAATTTGTTCAATCTTAGTAGTGAAGATTATGATTATTTCTACACTGAAGTAGCTTCTGTATACTCCAGAAATGCAGTGAGATGGTGATGCCAATAGGCACAGACAATGATACTATGTTTCCACCATACACTTTTGACCTTAGAAGCTTCATAAATCACTGCAATCAGTTATACGGCGTCTCTCCCAGGCCTCACTGGGTCACCACCTATTATGGTGGCAATGTATGCACTCAACCATTTCTCTCTTTCATTTTTTAAATTATCCACTTTCTCCCAAGTTTTTGGTAACTTTTGAGCCTTCTTTAACCAAATTTCAAAAACAAAATTAAGTTAAAAAAAAACTAAGTAGCCCAGGTAGAAGTAGTTTTATAAGCTTCATTTTAGAAAATAGAAAACTAAAAAACAAAATATTTCGATTTCTCCATTCTTTCTTATCTCCATTCAAATTACAGGACATAAAACTCCACCTTCAAAGATTTGGCAGCAACATCATTTTCTCCAATGGACTCAGAGATCCTTATAGCAGTGGCGGGTAAGAGGATTTTGAAATTGTTAGCTCCCACATTCGTTGGAGAGGGGAACGAAACATTCTTTATAAGGGTGTGGAAACCTCTCCCTAATATACGCGTTCTAAAACTTTGAGGGAAACCCCAGAAGGAAAAGCCCATAGAAGATAATATCTGCTAGCGGTGGACTTAAGCTATTACAGAAATGGTTTAGATCAATCATCCCTCTCTCCCCTTTCTTTGTGAATACAGAGTATTGCAAAGCTTATCAGACAGTCTCCTTGCAGTTCATACAGCCAACGGTAAAAGTCTTCTCTTTTTCCTTCCCTTCTTTGATTCATAGTCATAAAATTCTAACTACAAATGTTTGTTTTTCAGGGTCCCATTGTTTGGACATTTTACGGGCAAATGAAACCGATCCACAATGGTTAGTGAAACAAAGAGAAACAGAAGTTAGCATCATTAAAGAATGGATCAGGAAGTACTATGCCGATCTTAAGGAGTTCAAACAATAGCTAAAAAGAACACAAAAGGGTGATGAAGGGGCACCCTACTTCGAACATAAATTTATGACCTTGTATTGAATCCATCAAAGAATGTGGTGAAAAGCCCTTTTCAGAGTTATGAAAGACTCTTAATAAATGGTGGTGCCCTTTCTTTTCTTCCCTACTTGGAACAGCATAAGAAAATGATTGTGTAGAAGATAGTGTTGAAAGTGTCCTTTACTTGCCACTTGAAGAAACATGACCACAAGCAAGTCAACTATTCCACTATTTTTAATGGGTGTTTCTTGTTGGAGGATGACTCATGAAACCAAATCAATTCGATTATCGGTATCTGACTGCTTAGGTTTGTGTCTAACAAGTCGCTGAATTTTAAAGAGTGCTTGATAAATGTTTGATTTACTTGAGATTCCACGTTGGTGGAGGAGGAGAATGAAACACAATTTATTAGGGTGTGGAAACCTATCCCTAGTAGACGCGTTTTGTTACTGTGAAATTTCACATTGATTGGGGAGGAGAAAGACATTTTATTAGGGTGGGGAAACCTCTCTCTAGCATATGCATTTTAAAAACCTTGAGGGGAAGCCTGAGAGGAAAAGCTCAAAAAGAAAGGTGAGTTTGGGTCGTTACAAATGATATTAGAGCCAGACACTAGGCGATATGCCAGCGAAGAGATTGAGCCCCAAAGGGGATGGACACGAGACGGCGTGCCAACAAGGACGTTGGGCCTCAAAGGGAATGGATTGGGGGTCCCACATCGATTTGAGAAGAAAATAAGTGCTAATGAGGGTGTTGAGCCCCGAAGTGGTGGATTATGAGATCTCATATTGGTTGGGAAAGATAACGGAACACCTTTTATAAGAGTGAAAATCTCTCCTTAGCATATGCATTTTAAAAACTTTGAGAGAAAGCTCAAAAGGAAAAATCCAAAAAGAACAATATATAGTGGTAGCGATGGATTTGAATCATTACAATTACATTCTTGGGATATTTGCTACTTATAGATCTACCAATTTAAAAAAATGTGAAATAGAGGAATGAAGTAAGAAAGATATTTAAAGTTGATGACAACCTCACAAAGTGGGTTCAACAGCATGCAAGAGGATCATAATTGCATAGCTCCACTGAAGAACAGAAGCCAGAGTTGTTGATGTGTTTCTTATCCTGTTCTAATTCAACCCACTTCATTCTGTCCTAGAATTGGCTTACACAACAGCCATCTTCTAAGAACCCATGAGCCATCATCTCAAAGAATATTGTCAGTCTAAATGCAGCCTATTCTTTATCACTTCAAATCATCAAGATGTTCTACCAATAAAAATCACTTTTTTTAAATAAAAAAAAAAAGGGTTTTGGGTTAAGTTCCTCCCATGCTAGAGTCAATGGTGAACTACATAAAAGAGTTCGTTTTAACTAACTTAAGAACATATTTTTGAGCACTTAAAAAGTCATTTTAAATCAACTTTAATTCTACTCTCTGTCTCGAATTTACGATTGAGAAGGAAAGAATAAAAGCTAAGACGTACACTAACAATTAACGACCTATTTGAAATAGCTTTTTAAACGTCTTTTTAAACACTTAAAAAGTCATATTAAGCCGACCCTAATTCTACTCCCGGTAAAAAAAAGGAAGATTAAAAATCCCTTTTTTACCAACAAAAGTTTGTTGAGAAACTGACAGTAGGTACATATTTTGTTGTGAAAATGACAGGATAAGAGAATGTTGTTACTGATCCCACTAAGTTGAGAACTTGGAAGCCAGAAATATATTCAGAAACTCACCAACTTTTTTGGAGCCAGAAACTTCTTGTAATGTTTATGCAATGATGGCTGCATACACCACGCTTCCGTACGGTCAATTTTTGGCCCAACCTTTTTGCTGCCCCCACAAACTAAGGTTCATAATGTTTGACCAAACTCGTCATCATTTTTCCAAGAGGGCATTCGTTTCTGATTAAGTTGAATCATATTCATATCGATTTATCTATTTGAGCTAATTTAAATTTTTATATGATGTTACACCCTCTTGTCTACCATTCTCTTGAGCTAATTAGAATGGAATAGATGACTCGTTCGTTAAAGTTCATATCAATTTAACGATTTCAGGAGGGCTGGGATTAGAGACGTGGAAGTCTTTCCTGCCAGGTCGGTGAACATCAATATCAATTACTACCATTGCATTTTAGGACTTATTTTAAGCACTTATTTATTTTTTATATTTAAAATTATATTTTTGTGAAGAACAATCGTTAATTGGGCTAGCCCAAAGTGGCAGAACTTTGGTATGTGGTCCAATATGAACCCAAAAATGAGCCAATAGGCCTTAACAACGTTGGTCCAATACTTTTCATATTTTTGAGTCCAAAGTACATTAGGTCTGCAACTGTGTAACACAAGGAGATTCAGATCAACAAGTATGAGCTCGTATAAATTAAACTTCTATAGAACCAACTAGTTCATAAAAGAAATTTACAACGCAGCTGAGACCAATTCATTTGAAAGTATATAATACTAATCCCAAAAAACAATGGGAAAAGGAAAAATTTGAGAAGACGAGCTCAGATGCACAGCAGCACCACAAACAGAACTTCCTCGGCTCGATGTATAATAACTGAATATTATACACAAATTTAGTGAAAGAGTGGCAAATAGAATGTTCTTCTCTAGACCTTATGAGTGGAGGAAGCTGGTGAAGATGGATAAGTGAACAAAGAATACAAGAATGCTCAAGTGTAGAACAAGTCTGTCGGGCTGATTCGGCACAGAACCACCATCACTGACCTGTTGAGCTTTCAAACCACTCTTTGCGGTCCTGGTAGTTGTAGAAACATTTACTGACATTGCACCTAATATGGAGAAAAACATGTTACAAATATGTTGTTGAATTTTTTAGTGCTTAAAAATGTGTTTTTAACAGAAAAAAGAAATGTTTTTAAGTAGTTAGCAAGTCCATCCAAATAGACCCAAAGACGACTACCAGTGAACCATGATCTAAAGTAGCAAGTTGAATGAACCATGATCGAAAGTGAATGAAACTCAGTTTTAATAAGAATGGTTGAATTATATTTTACTCTACAAAAACCTTGTCAAACATCAAATATCATTAGAGAGGAGAACGAAACATTCTTTACAAGGGTGGGAAACCTCTCCCTTAGTAGACGCATTTTAAAAACCTTAAAGAGAAGCTCGAAAGAAAAAGTACAAAAAGGATAATATCTGCTAACGGTGAACTTAGGCTCTTACAAGAACGATGATTTACGATGATTTACAGAGGGTTGTGGAAACTCACAGTTGAAGTTTGTCCATCCAATTTGTTGATTAGCTAAATCATAAACGAAGATTTTGTCTTTCAGAACAAGGTCTGCCAAAAAAGTGAGCTGCAGTGTCAGTATTTCAGGATAGAAAATGGTTGGACAAGTAAACATATACTTATCTATATATATATATATGATTTCTGAACTCACCTCCTAAAATTGTAGCCCCTTGACCTTGAAGTTTCTGGAAACCAACGCACCAAACAACAGTATCACCCTGTAATGAAACTTTTGTCAAACTCAATTCCAAACCAGGATAAAAGTTATATCAACCAAAGTAAATGTCTAAAAGTGTTATCTTTAGTACTCCGTAACTACTATGGAAATGTAAATGTCCAGACAATGAAGTGACAGCTATAGACTTACAATGAATTGTTGTATGAGGTAGTCTTGGGGTCTCAATAACAACGATGCCCCGCCGGCGAAGTTAAAGCTTGCTTGAGGAAATATATCAGAGATACTGATATTATACCCAAAGACAAAAATGATGAGTCAAATTCCTCCTCATGGTGAACATTAACTTCAAACAGAAATGTAAATTGTAAATTAAATCAACCTGGAGGAGGTTAAATAACACTGATTTCCCTTGAAGGTAAAAGACTGAGTCGATTTTGAAATTGTGTTCGTGATCTGAGTTTTTAGAAAAATGAGTGAGAAATAAAGCTATTCAAGGATCGTGTCTACTTCAACCATCCTATAATGGAAAATAACATATATAACAGTATGAACAATGAAGCATCATAATGAACTCATCTGAAAGTAAGACTCACGGCAACAATAAAAATGTCGTAAGCTTCTTCTGCAAGGTATGCCAAGGTAGTGCCAGAGTCAATTATGGCTCCTTGTCCACTTGCTGTTGCAAAGAGAGCCGGATTGATAGGTAATACTTGACCATTAACGGAGATGCTTTGCAGATTCAAGTTATAATGAGACCTGAACCCAACAACAATCAGAAACCACACACTTTCAGACTCGAAAAAGTTTAATCAAACGAAAATGGATGAGATATTGATGGGAAATGAAGAACATACTGTGATGGGACTAGAGGAGTATAAACAACATTTGGATCCAAAATCTCACCAAGAACCAATATTCCCCCACCACTATCATCTCCGTTCAAGCAGTGAGAGAACACTTTTGGAGCTAATCCTCGTGATGACAGTTGAGAAATTACAGACAAATCCCGTTGCCCAAATCCAAAGATTCCATCAACTGTCTTGTCTGACTTAGTTAAATCTCCAGTCTGTGATGTGCTACACCTGTTTAACAAATGATGTGAGTTGTGACCAAGGACATAGAATTAGGAGAGTTAGTTTTGGAATGAAGCATAAACTCACCCAAACACAACTGAAGCTGAAGAATTCGAAGTATCATGACCATTACCTACCACATTAAGACGCATCTTGTCTATAACAAAATAGCCTGATGTTTCACTTCCATCGCCGTATTGCAAGGCAAAAGCACACCGATTGGTCTGGCCAAAACAGGAAGAGCCGGAGGATAGAACCCCAGGAGTACATATTTTGTCTGAACAAGAGACCAAAGAAGCTGTTGATGAGTTATCAGGATCAAAGACATTGAGCCCAACCTGTGAGAAAAAAACAAATGAATTGAAAATATGTAGCAGCAAAAGGGTTGGGGTTTAGGTGACAGACAATGCCACCGGTTTAAAACGAGATCAAAACTTATATAACACGAAATCACCTGGAGCGCACCAGTCTCCGAGCAGCCAATGCAAGAGTTGCAACAAACCCACAAAATATTACTTCCAGTATCAATCTGTACATAAAAATCCTTTGGAGGATTACCTAGTTGCACTTTAGTGTAATAAAGCCTGTGAGAGAACCACAAAAAATTCGTTCAAACCAAGATAATGAGAACAACTAAGGTAATTAATGCAATAAGAAAGTGAAGAACCTAATATATTGAAAGATTAATTCATGGGCAATGGACATGATGATACACAAATACATCGGTTCTTTTAAACTAAAATTGGGGGAAAAGATAAGGCACAAGATAACATAAGTATGATATATTTCCAGAGGTTCATTCATTTGAGAATTCAACAACAAAGCATCCATTCAAACTCATTCACTAAAAGTTTCAATTCAATCAGGAATAAAACCGCAACTATGATCCTAAAATTAAGACACCTCGTCAAAATAAGAAAGGTAAACAAACATTCCAAATGAAAACTAAAAGTACACATTGAAAAAAAGATTCGTTCCTTTTCCTTACCCAAGGTAATACGGTTCGTAGGTTCCGGACAGAAGAAAATCAATAACACCACCAGAAGACTGCAACATTCTACCATGTCTAGCCCGGTCCCGACCGCGGAGATGAACCATTTCAACGCCGTGATTAGTTGGAAAAGCCCTCTCCAGCGTCAGTTTCGCCGAAAATCCATACGAAACTGTCGCATCATGAATCAGCACCACCGCAACGGCCACCAACGCCCCTGCACGAACAATCGCGGCCATTGCTCAATCCCTCGTCTTAAAATTTCATTACCCGCCAAACAAGCCGATTAAATACAGAGCAAGAACAGGAGATTGACAAATATCAGAACACAATGACGAAGAGAACAAGAGGAAAACAATCGAGAGGCACAATCTGGTCGATGTTCATCCTGGGATATAGAGAGAGAGAGAGAGAGAGAGAAACAGAGGAATGGTTCGTAAGAAGGCGCTAAAACAAATGTTTCGGTGAACAAATTTGGATTACACAGTGCTCGATTTATCCGTTAGCTAAATTAATAGAAACCCCTTTTACATTTAAACGTTTAAAATTTCAATACTAATTTTAAAATTTTAAAAAAATACCAAAAATACTTTTAATTAACAATATTATGAGATTAATCCACGTGTCCCATTTCCTATCTCAGAATATTTAGAGGTTGGAGTCTAATGTCTCAATAAACATATTACATGTAACATATTCTTGGTATATTAAAATTAATGCTATTAATGTTTATTTATTTAAATTATTAATTTTATAATAATAAAAAAATTATTATGAATTTAATGTTGATTAACTAATTATATCTAGATTTCAAGAATGGGGTCCACGTGGAAATACATTTCCTTATTTCCGTCCCTACAAAATATTCGAGATAAATTTTTTATCCATCCTTATTTTTATTCGTATTTTATATAATAAAATAAATTAAAAAAATACTCTCGATGATAAATCATATGAATTGACAAATTAAAATAATTTGTACAAATAGCTAAAATATTTATCAAATTTTGCCCTGTATTAAAATTAGTTGAAATCGTTGTCATAATTAATCACGTATAATATTTGAGATTTTAATCGTGTGCTTTGGTGTTATTTATTTATTTGATATATACGTGCGTATACATACACACGTGTGTGTGGAGGGAGAGAAAGAACTATATAATAAATAATATCCAAAATAATTATTCTAGAGTACTAAATTGTTTTATTTAAATTAAAAATGATAACAATATTTGAGAATATACAATATTATATTGGATAAATAAATTAAAGAAAACGCTGATCTAAAAAAAGAAATGAAAATAAATGAACAAATGAAAGGGTTGAATTACAAGTTTCATGAATTTAGTGTTTATGATTTAAAATTAGAATTTAAATTTATAAGAAATTACCAAATCCATAGAATTTCTAACTAAAAATTCGCGATCGGACTTGTTGTATTCACGACAGTACAATCCAATCACTCACTATATATATATTTTTCGGAAAAGACTCCTTATTAAGTTATCGGTTGTCCTCTTTCCCGGCAGTAGGTACGCACCATATAAACCCTAATCGCGGTTGGCGCGGTAGCACGACCAAGGCGCTTGCTCTAACTTTTCCCTCAGATTTACCTCAGGAACATCCATTTCCTCGGAGGATATTAGTGTTCATTTGCTCTCCTACGAATTCTGTATTTAATCTTCATTGGTCTCGTCAATGGCGGAGGCTCGGAAAGGCGATCGGAGCGAGGAAACTGATTATACATCGGAGGACGAAGGGACTGAGGACTACAGGCGAGGAGGGTATCATGCGGTTCGTGTTGGGGATACTTTTAAGAACGGATGCTATGTTGTTCAAAGCAAGCTCGGCTGGGGTCATTTTTCCACTGTGTGGTTAGCTTGGGACACTCAGAAATCGGTATGGTTTTTGTTGGAATTTGGAGTTCTAGTTTTTTGTTTTTCTTTAGAAGTGAGAGATAATAAGGAAAGTGATCTTATTGAGGGAATGTTGGATGCACATTGGAGAGTTAGTTGTTGGGATCTGTGGGTTTGATTACAAGTAGCAAGAAGAATAGTTTGATGAAACGAGAATTGTGTTATGTTACTTTACGAGAAGTAGCGTCCGGAAATGGATTATGTCATTGCCCTCCTTCTAACGGATAAGGACCAGGATCGGTCTTCGCCGCTGGTAGTCGTTTTGAAGATTCAGAGTTGAACTTTGAACTTAACTTTTTGCTCACAACGTTAAATTTTGTTGGTAGCTGTTGTGCTTTATGCATCCAGGTCTTACCGATTTTAAGTCGTTTTCTTTTTTATTTCACTATCAGTTTACGGCTATTTAGGTTATTCTCTACAAGGTTTGGTGGTTATAGGCTGAAAGCTAAACCAAGCACTTGCGTTTGCATTCATTATTTAGTTCTTTAACAACACGAGAATTTTATTGTTTGTAGATTTATGTTGCTTTGAAAGTTCAAAAGAGTGCTCAGCATTACACTGAAGCTGCGTTGGATGAGATTAAGATTCTTAAGCAGATAGCAGAGGGAGATATGGAAGATAAGAAGTGTGTTGTGAAGCTTTTGGATCATTTTAAGCATTCTGGCCCAAATGGGCTGCATGTTTGTATGGTTTTTGAGTACCTTGGGGACAACTTATTGACCCTTATTAAATATGCTGATTACAGAGGTATTCCTCTACACATGGTGAAGGAAATTTGTTTTCATATTTTAGTGGGATTAGATTACTTGCACAGCAAACTTTCAATTATACATACAGATTTAAAGCCTGAGAATGTATTGCTTCCATCTATGATTGATCCATCTAAAGATCCTAGAAAATCAGGAAATCCTCTCATCCTTCCAAACAATAAGAACAAAACTTCGACTAGTTCTGATGCTTTAATTGATGTTAAGAGCTTCAATGGGGATGTTATCAAGAACCAGAAAAAGAAGATAAGGAAAAGAACTAAGAAGGCAGCCCAGGGGCGTTTGGAGAAGGAAACTGTTGAAGATGATCTAGATGAAGAAGACTGTACAAGAGCTGGCACAGAAGATTTTGATAATGGGGTTAAATTAAATGGGGGTACAACCAAAATATGTAAAGATAATGCTGTGAATGATGTTGGTATAAAAAATGCTGATGATTTAACGGATGCTTGCCAAGGGAAGAAAAGCCACAGTAGAATGAGCCGAGAAACAAGGCAGAGACTGCTGGCAGCTGCTGATCTTAAGTGCAAGCTGGTTGATTTTGGGAATGCATGCTGGACATACAAGCAATTCACCAATGATATTCAAACACGGCAGTATAGGTGTCCTGAGGTTATACTTGGATCTAAGTATTCAACTCCAGCAGATATGTGGTCATTTGCTTGCATTTGTTTCGAGTTGGCCACGGGTGATGTTCTCTTTGATCCACACAGTGGTGACAACTATGAAAGGGATGAAGTATGTAAATATCCTTTCTTGCTCTCCTTCTTTTGTTATCATGATTTTTTTCCTGAACTCTTTAATTCTTAAACCTGGAATATTTGTTAATTAATTCTCACCTCTCATTTGGAAGCATTATTCCTACTCACGGCAAAGTGTCCCAATTTTCACTTCTTTGAAAACCTTACTGAAAAGTTGTTTGCTGTTGTTGTTTGTTTGAGTTTTCAACGAGTTATATTTGATTTTTTTGACATGTTTCTTCTGCTGTAGCCATTAGAAAGGCATAATGTAGAAGTTCATCTCATTATGAAATATTTGATTGTTTTTTTTAATTGGTTAGCGGCTTGGTTTAATTTCAACCACGTCATACACTGAATAGGCACGGTTATAGTTTGCTAAGGCTGTATATTGGAAAACTTAAATAATTTTGATTTTAACGTAGTGAGTTTTTTTAACCATAATGTGGTTATTATCTCAGCTATTTGTATTCTCCTTAAATCGTTGGCTGTAATCTGACCCCCTCTTGTATTTGCTTGGCTAGTAAGATTATTAGTATGGTATTTGCTTCGTTTAAAATAACTATAAGCATTGCATGTCAACATCCCCGGTATATGTGTTCTGAGAACTGGAAAACAAAACTGTGCTATAACTACGGACTTGTGACATGGATGTTCTCTTCCGGAAGTTGTAATTTCTGGTATTTATTTGATTTCACAGGATCATTTAGCATTGATGATGGAGCTTCTTGGAGTGATGCCTCGCAAGGTGAGGGTTACATACTTTCAAAGGCCATGCTGTCTTTATCATATATGTGACATTTTTCAATTAACCTGATATTTTGATGTTTCTTAAATACTAGTATGTTATCGACTCATTTATTATGAGATATATCCCGCACAGGTCGCATTAGGTGGTTGCTATTCAAGGGACTACTTCAACAGATATGGAGAGTTGAGGCATATTCGTCATTTGCGCTTTTGGCCTCTTAATAAGGTGTTGACTGAGAAGTATGATTTCAGCGAGCAAGATGCTAATGACATGGCTGACTTTCTTACTCCTTTATTGGATTTTGCACCTGAAAAGAGACTAACAGCAGCACAATGTCTTAGCCATCCATGGCTAATTTCTGTCCCAAGAATTCTTGAATCTTCTGTGTCAAGCCATCAAAATCAGCCCATAGAGCAAAATGCTTCTACAAAAATAAGTGAGAAGGACGAGAGAGAAGCCATGGAGATTGGAATTGGAAACATAGTTATTGATGGAACTTCAAAATCGACTGCATCGAAACAGACATAACTAGAGATGTAATGTTATGGCATTTCAGGGTATGGCTTGTACAATGTAACCCATCCTGGTTGGTTTCTGTTATAGTCGGAAAGCATTCCTGATCCAAATTGATTCAGTGTGTATTTTGGTATTTTGCTTGGAGAGAGTAGACCAGCTTTCGTAGGCTCTTCTCGATCAACCTCGAACACTGAATGTCTTGAGCGTTTCTCGGTTTGATAGAGGGCACCTTTGAGTATGCTTTGCTTATCTTTACCACTCCCATTGTTTCTAGGTCTCTCATAGCACAATGCTCTGGGTTAGAACTTTTTCCTGAATCCTTGGAACAGATTTAAAATGTAAATCTTTTTTGTGCTAGGTTCTTGCTGTTTTGTTTGTAGTAAGTAAAGTTGGCCCCTACCTCTTTTTCTTTTTGAATTTAATGAACTTACTTTATAAAAAAAAATAATTATATGGCATAAGATTTGATACATGTAATTTCTTTAGAGTAAGATTCAATGTTGAACTAAAAAAAGTTGATTTATGCATAGTTGCAAAATTAATTAAACGCAAACTTAGAATTATTTGATTAAAATCATAATTTCATCTTAAAAATTCGTTTAAAGCAAATGGTTCCACAAATAATTGTGGAACAAAAAAATGATAATCGGACGGCCCAAAATGGCTGGCAGATACCCGGCCCGATTGACGAAATGGGTATCTGGTCGAGTGCCGGAGAGGGAGAGGCGGAGTAGCTGGGGAAATTTCAGGCCACACGAATACGACGCTTCTGTCGTAGAAAATTTTGGTTGAAGACGACAGCGACACTATCAGCTAATCGTGTTCTTGAAACCTTGTTATGGAGGTGGGCTCAGATTCAGACCCTATTGAAGCGGAACTGGACCCAGAACTCGAATCTGTAGAAGGCGGTAAAGGACCTGCTCATCACCCTTCCGCTCCATTTGATGAGGTTTCTATTCAAACTTCTGAGCTTGTTTAATATTTTAATTAGCTTTTTATGGCTTCGTTTATTGCTCTGAAAATTTCTCTTGAAACTTGAGCTAGTCACTGTATTTGTTCTTTCAGCTGTGCTAACCTGGATTTTCTTTGGTACTTGACTTTACGGAGTAGCATTATACGATGAATTGGTATTACGATGGTGATAAGTTTGGTTGTGTTGTCATAGAAATTTTGTTATTGAGATAGCTAAATAAATCTCGAGACCGAGACAGTAGATTGAATTTCTTATCGACATCACTTTGCAGTTATTTGACATCTCAACGACGGTTGATCCTAGCTATATTATCTCTCTCATACGGAAACTTCTGCCATCCAATGCAAGTAACCTGCGCAATTCTTATGGAATTAGAGATGACGACGGTAACGCCTCAGTAACCAACATGGATGAAAGTGATGCCTATTTATCTGGCGACCAAGTATTAAGTTCTTCAGGAACAGTGAATGAATGCCAGGGCATTGAAATTGCGGATGGTTCTGACAAACTTGCTGATCGAGAAGGTGAGGATGAAGGTGCATGTCCTAGATCGGAGCAACGTATTTCATCATCAGAAGAAAATGTCTGGGAAGAGTATGGTTGCATTCTGTGGGATCTTTCTGCGAGTAAATCTCATGCAGAATTAATGGTACTTTAGTTTCCTTCCTACCCACACCCACACCCACACACTCTGTTCGTCCCACTTGTCTTGATAAGAGAAGAAGTGGGCTGATTAAATTATAAAACGTGTTCTTATTAGCACTGTAGTCATCATTATTGACCTTGCCAAGTCTCGTATTATACTCTTTCTTCCCTTGTTTCCGGTACCCTCCATATGTAGTTTAGCATTGACTTGCAAATAATATGATGCTTTTCAAATGGAACTGGTGACACTATGTTTTGAGTATTCTAGCAATAGTGTCACTATAGCCACCTGCAATTAAAACCGGTTTCATTTACGTAATCTTCATGTTTACATGTTTTCCAGGTTCAGAACCTCGTTCTTGAAGTTCTTTCTGCGAACCTGATGGTCTCACAATCTGTGCGTGTTATGGTATGTGACAACGTGATGTGTAATTTTAATAATCATTTTCCATTATGCGTTAGAAAGTGCATCATTATCTTTTATTTTCTTCAAAGAGATGGATAAACAATGTTGCTCTATTTTGAGGATATCAGTTGAGTACTGCCTCAGATCCATATTCAATCGATTACTTGCTGCAGGAGATTGTCCTTGGAATTATTGGAAACCTGGCCTGCCATGAAGTTCCCATGAAACATATAGTCGACAAGAGTGGATTGATTACAACCATTGTGAACCAGCTGTTTCTAGATGATGCTCAATGTTTATGTGAAGTTTGCAGGTAGCGTGAAAAAATACGCCTTTCTAATCAATTTATATAATGTCCAATTGCAAATTATATGCAACTTTCTTTTCCCAATATTTCATTTGGTTAGGTTGGCATTCATACCTGCCATACTATGTTTTAAGACTCATTAGGACAATTTTTGTTTACCATATTGGCCATTTATTGGTACCCCTTCTTCAGTTTTTGTGGCATTCAATTGAAATATGGTTTAGTGACAATTTTATTCAATCCTTCTACTTGCTCTGTAATATGCACATTTTGTTATGGTTATTACGACTAACAGGTTGTTAGATGCGGGTCTTCAAAGTAGCGAATGTGCCATATGGGCTGGGGCATTGAATTCTGAGCATGTTCTCTCTCGTATTCTATGGGTTTCTGAGAATACCTTAAATCCACAACTTATAGAAAAGGTATCAAAATCTATATCCGTGGAAGCAAAGAACATAATAGGTTACTGTAAATTATGGCATAATATAATTGCAAGCCAAAATATTTAGCTGGTCTGATGGCTTAAATAGTTTCTTTCTTGATCAGAGTGTTGGGTTATTATCAACCATCATTGAAAGTCAGCAAGAAGTTGTGCATGTTCTTCTCCCATGTTTGATGAAGCTGGGTTTGTCGAGTGCTTTGTTCAACCTTTTTTCTTTTGAGATGAAAATATTAACAAATGAAAGATCAGCTGAAAGGTATTAGTCTCCTTTGTCTATAGGTAATGTAGATTTGTGTGTAATATAAGTGCATTTAGATAAAAATATTAGTAATTATCTCTTAATTATTTTAAGATATACTTTCCTTTTATAATTAGCCTCCCAAGTCGGGGAGTTCATTCACCCAATGTATTGTATCAGGAAAGAAAATGTTATTTTAATTTGTATGCATCGACTGATAATCAATGAGTTTAGTGGTAGAGAAATTTGTAGGTTCGATTCATTATATTCATTAATCTAAGGTCTGGGTTCTTTGGTGGAAGTGCATTTAAGTTGGTTTAGGAATAATGGGTCATCAAAAAAGAAGGAAAAGGAGGAGAAAAAGGTAGTAACAATATGAAGAATCTATAACGGATCATGTAGAGTTTTGTATGTTCGTAGTCATGGCAGCTCCAACCTGCATTGTATGACGTGGTTTATGATGCTTGTAAATATGAATAAAAAATGATGATTAGCGAAGCTTTTTTGAGTCCATCAGTCCTCTCACAAAATTCAATTTCAGGTATTCAATTTTGGACGCGATTCTTCGTGCAGTTGAAGCACTCTCTGGAATTGAAGAGCATTCTCAAGAATTTTGTTCAAACAAAAAACTTTTTCAGCTTGTTTGTGAACTAGTCAAATTGCCAGATGCATTTGAGGTACAGTTCAGGTACCTAAAGTAAGAGTAGAGCTGTGACCTTCTAATAATAGGAATTGGCGTATGTATTAACATTTCCATTTATTACCTCAGAATTATTTAATTTACTTTTATCAGCGTGATAAATTGCATAACTTGTTAAATGTGTCCATTTGCCACCCGACAAATTATGTAGTCCTCAAATGTGGATATGGCTGTATATCATGTGATCTACCACCTTTCCTGTCGTTTAATTTGTTGCTAGAAGATGCTGCAGTTTTCTTTCTTCGGCTGTTTTTTGTTGTATATTTTAAACTACTTCTATGTTCTGTGATTGACGGCATGCTACAAATATATTTTTCTTTCACGATCAAGAAACCCTTCCGTCTCTGAAATGGACATATTTCTTTCCATAGGTTTCAAGTTCTTGTATCAGTGCTGTGATTTTGATTGCAAATATTCTGTCAGATCTACCTGATCTAGCCTTTGACATGAGTCAGGGTAAGTTAAGTTCATTATATTTCTTATTGCCAAGTTTCATTCATCACCTTATGTGTACTTAATACTTCTGGTCTATCCAGATTTGTCTTTCCTACAAGGTCTACTTGATATATTCTCTTTTGCTGGGGATGACCTAGAAGCCCGTGATGCTGTTTGGAGCATCATTGCCAGGATATTGGTGCATGTTGAAGAAAAGGCGATGAGCAGACCAAGGATGTTTGAGTGCGTGTCGTTACTAGTGAGTAAGACTGATCTCATCGAGGATGATCTTCTAGACCACCGTATGACTGAATTGAATAAAAAAGAGGATGGATTGACCTCTGCCTGCACAAAATCAAACTCTAGATGTATATCCGTATCCTGTTCTTTGAGTTTGTTTTACTAGCCTACTGTTATTTATTGCTCAATGTAGGCAATTCATTTTCAATTTTTGATGGGTCATTTTCTTTCATAAATGAACTTTGTGTTGTCCTTTACTCATCCCTTAGTTAGGAAGGATCATTGCTATCTTAAATTGTTGGGCTGCTTCAAAGGATGAAGGGACAGATGTTAGAGACGAATATCGTGCAGAAGATATCGATGTGAATAGATTGTTGAGTTGTTGCTGTAAACATTCTGAGTAAGATCTATTTCAATTTCTATGTTCATTATGAACTCTCTTCTTCTGCAATGCCTGATTTAAGTGCTACGTTTTTTCTCCTAACTCAGATGGCTGGGAAGTTAGCAGAGACGGAAATCTACACTTCATCACCCATAGCGTTGCTGTTAACCACTTTCAGTACGTACACTAAAGTGGTAATCGATCTTTTCTGCGGAATTTCAATCATGATTGTTTTCGCTAATCACTGTAGATTTAGTACTGATTCGGTGCTTTTGTTTATCTTTTTGGTTTCAGCATCACCATTTTGCATGCAGTCCTGGATATTATTTTGAATCATTATCAACTGAAAGAAAGGTCAATGCATATATTTACTGAATGGAGCATCGTTTGTGGCTGTACTATGCAACCGGGGTCAAGTCTGTTTGCTGGATGATGTTTTATTGGTCTCAGGCTCCACATAGTCCCCACCAACTTCCAAAATCTTGCAAAAATGTTTGGTTGTATACTACTTGCCTTATAAATGGTTTGAAGATGGTTTTAGGACCAAAATTTAGCTGTGATCGGCTATATCTATAAAATCACATATTATTCAACGATCACTACATTGGCACATCGTGCTCAATTAATTGCCTGCTAACTTCATTGGTTCCTTCCCACCCATCTTTTTGAGCAATTTTCATGATCTAAATTTAGGTGTTGTCAGGTTAGGCCTATTACTAATTTGCTCTTTTCATACCTGCGTTACGTCTCATTTTCACTTTGATGCATAATTTCTGGTGTCTGCGCCGTCCCCTTTATATAACAACATTGGCTCTTCTTCTCACACAGTTTAGTTGCGTTTGCATATGTATGCTTGAAGGAGTGTTCATTTTCCCCTCTAAATTTGACCGAAAATGTGGTCAATGTCAGAAAAAGCAGGTATCAAGTGGGCAATGTGTTTGCCAACGTCATTAGTGATGGCTCTCAGGATTGCTTACCTTTTGTTTTCGGCAACAATTGTTTTCCTTTCGTGTCTTTTCTTGCACCAAATCATCCAATGATTCATCAGCAGGTTGTCTCATAACTTCATCTCATTGTCAAGTAAGTAATTAATCGTTATGAAATCAAGCCTTGTATATTGGCTGATTTTCTTATTTAAATTTCCTGATCTTTTATATTGGAAATCTTTAATGAATAAGATGCATTATTGTCTAGATTTGGATCGTGGTCAGGTTTAGAAAGTAGACCTCAAACATCACAATATTATTCACATGGAAGACTGGGGGGAACAAACTCCACTGCCAAAAGTATGAATTCTTTTCCTCTCTTTTTATGTCATTCATTTTATGCTCTCCTGCTATAGAAGCCCGTTAATCTCCCTTTCAGTACCTCTCATCCCCTGAGCTCTCAAACTGACTCACAGCTTAAGATTTATTCTCTCTGATAGTGTCAATATATCTGAGTAAATCCTGTCACCACCAATCTCTGCTCCAGTGGCTCCAGCAGCAACCCTCAAGATATCTTCAATTAGTTTAGCATTGCCCATTATGTCAACGTGAGCACTACTTTCAATTCCTCTTCCTTCTAGCAGACTAGCAGGGGCCTTGTGCCTGTATTCTCTTACGTATGTAGGGCTGCCTGATGGGTTGAATCGTGTTTTGTTTCGCCACCCTTTTGCACACATGAAACCAGAGCTCACCACTGGTACACAGTCGTCGCCGTCAACAAAATACATCCCACTTCTTAGACAGCCACTCCCTTCTCCATCGACTGAGAGATCAATCCTGAATGGAATGCTCTTGCACTTATCATAAGATGAGTCATAGATATATGATCTTTCTGTGGGGATTCCCACTCCGTATAAGCAGTATATCTCCATGTCTGGGGCATCTGGTAGTCTGAAACAAATTTTGCAAAATGGGAAGTTGAGAAAGATGTGTCTAATGTTTTCTTGATGTTAGATAGTTATTACTATCAGCTCATATGCCAAGAGTTGATTCTATTCAGTACTTCATGTGGAAGATTATCTTCTAAAGAAATCAGCAAATTCTAAAAAACTACACAGCTACTTACTTTGTCTCTAGTGGATTTGACCAGTACTTGTAATGAGCATATTTTGGATCATCAAGATCTTCAGCAATCCCATGAGAGAAGTGACTATCCATCCTCTGCATCATTTTTGGAGCCACGACTCGGAGTAGATCAAAAACAGTTTTCGCTGTGTAAGCTTTATTCTCGGAGACTTTCCGAAGACTTTCCCTACTCATCTCATCATATTCAGTCCATCCGTCGCTACAAGAGAAGCTCGAATCATTGGAGCTACCTGAATCCATAAGCTCCTATTCAAGATCCACTCATTAGTCAATACTATCCTGTCCCACTTTGAATACCTAAGATCACTTAATAGACAGAACTAGTATCTAATACATTCGGCATTGGTAAGTTTCATCATTTTCCCCAACAAAGAAGTTGTTCCAATGCACAGAAAGTAGACAGCAAAGTTCATTAATTACCTCTGAATAAAGTGTAGACAGCTCTGATGAAGGCCGTGTTGCTGCTTCTTTGCCAAAAGAGATCATTCTTCCATAGTGCACTGCCTCCTTTTCTTGTAAGCCCTTCTTTATCTCACTGTCATTTGAATCATTTTCGTTTCTAAAAGAATGTGTATCTACTTTCTCCAAATCACAATTCTGAACATCTTCAGGAGACCAATCTAAGTCACCCCAGATGGTCTCACCACCCTTCGGTAACAACGACGCGGTCGAATCCCAGGTCCGGGAAACCCGCAACATGTGTTCTAAGGTTTGAAATCCAAGAATTTCAGATTTTAGAAAACCAGGGGTCATAGCTCTGTAAATGCCAAGATAATCAATCAAGTTCATTATTTTTCCTTGAATCTCTAAGGGTGAAGAAGAGAAGAGAAGAGAATAGAACCTGAGCAAAGCAATGTGTCTGTCTTCAGCAGAAAGAATTTTACTGACTGCCTTTGGAGTTCCCAAAAATGTAGAGCCAATATTCATGATTGCTTTAATATACTTGGCACACCACCCTAGGCCGCCACCGCCTCCCATCGGCGGCGGCGCTTCCACCCACTTCATGAAGTGGAGGAAGTACAGAACCCCCATTGAGTGAGGCACCACCACCACTTTATTCCCCCCATTTGTTTCATACATTACCTCTATTTTACTCTTCAATCTGCTCAGAGCCCTGTCTCTAACCTGCGTGATTTCTCAACTCAACTATTGCAAACTCAATGATCAAGTGTATAATTTGATTGGAAGAAGAAGAGAGTGTCGTTGGTTACATTGCATACCTCTGTGTTTTGGAAGGCGATCCTCCAATCATATGCAGCCATATGTAAGTTCTTTCCATCATAACCAATTTTAGCCAGATTTTCTATGAGAACAGCCCAAACGAAGTAGCCTTGGGTGAAATAATCAGCGGCCACAAGGCCTTCGACTGGCCGGATTCGAATGCCTGGTGGGTCAAGCCCTGTTTCATTGTCTAGAGACAGGTGCTCCAACCAGCATAATGGTCTGAGTGTTTGAATTCAAATTCTCAAATGGGTACTTCAAGTATCAATCCAAAAGCTTCAGAAATGTAAAATTTATCTGGAATTCGCTAACCTTTTCAATGTTTCAGTGAAACTCCCACCCCACAGGCGCTTTCGAAACAGTCCCTTGGCGCAGGGCTTGCCATCCCAGAGCTCCAGCCCGCCGGTGACAATGCCGGGCACTAAAACGACTGGGTGAAGACCTGATACGCCATCTCTCTTTAAAACAGCCCCCGGAGAGTCAATCGCTGGAAAGCCAGGTAATGTAAGGGGCAAATAATGGTAGACGAAAAACATCAGCCACCAAAATGTGCACATATATCCAATAATCCAACAGCAGTTATCTAAGCACTTCCATTCTCTTGATTGCCCCTTATTGATGTTCTTGTTCCTTTTCTTCTTCCTGTCCTTATCTTGCTTCTTTTGCAGCATTTTCTTCACATATGCAACAACGACATTAGGTTTGTCCTCTGATTTATGTGCATCATCAATGGTTTGGATCCCCATAGAAGAATTCTTAACAGGGTTGACGTAGTATAATTTGCGGAGACGAAGAACAGAGGCCATGGATTAAGGAGTGAAGAGGTTGAGATCAAGAAAATCAAAGAAGAACGATGAAACCCATGACTTATGGGGGGATTTAAAACAGAAAAAAGGTTAAAACGAGCTGTCAAGAAAGCAATACACGTGGCGAAACGAAAAGGACAAGAGGGAGTAAATGGCCTGGTGGCCATGGGTAGCTGAAGGTGTGCAGTCGGAACAAAACAGGGGATGTGAAAGGAAAGAGAAAAGGAAGAGGCTTCTCTTGTGCAACTCATTATGAGAATGAAAAAGGAAAAGGGTTGTGCGAATTGCAGAGGAAATGGGAATGGAGAATCCGAAGTAACACATTTTGGATCATCAAAATGACACTTGGCTCTGTTTCTGCATGGGAGCTTCGTCAGGTGTCGGCCCCTCTGGGCCTCTGTCTTCACTGCATATCATAGCTTTTTGAATAACACTCTTTTTCGATTGTTTATCGCTAATGTGCAATGGGAAGGAACTTGCTTTCTTTTCTTTTTAAGTTTTTGGTATATTTATGTGGGCGTTAAAAGCTATCAAAGCTAACAAACAGAGCTGAGAATAAATGGGTAAGACGACCTTATGAAGCTCAATACACTATCCCCACACTCCAATGAGCCTAGGGCCCAAATATACCAGCCTTTTCTCAATTTCATTAAGGCTTGTATGTTATGTCTGTAGGTGAGATTTGAAAAATAGAGTGAAAAAAGAAAGAGTTTTTTTTTTTTTTTTTTCTCTTCAATAGTGATGGGTTAGTTTATTTACCATCATCCTGTATAGTTTAGATTACATGTTTAGAAACATTTAAATTTGACAGGGTCGATTTTGCTTTTAAAGTAATTCGAATCTCAAATAAGTGTTCTTGCAGACCAAGAACTACGAGATTGTTGAAGTCACCAACAGAGATCGCCCCTTTCATTATGGGGTGACGGAGGGATCGTACCATTCGAGCCTTTGTTTCATGCTTTTTCTGGAGGTTTGAAGAAAGCTCCAATCAATAGGATTTTCTTAATCCTCCCTTCTCGAAAGCGAAAGGAAGAACATGAAATTCTTTTTCCTTTCTTCTACAAGGACCAGGAGATTTGAAAAATGATTTTAGAGTGTCTAGGGTTGGGTTAAGATGGTTTCTTAACGCCTTCTTTTTTCCTCTCATCGGAGTTTTTTTACAAAGACTTGCCATGGTAAGGAATAAGGGGGGAGCAAGCACACTTGAGAGCGGCAGTACAACTGAGAGTTGTATGCTGCGTTCGAGAATGATGAATCTTACTCCTCTTATCGTGATTCTTTGCCATATGTGCTCATGATGAAATAGAGATTAAATTCACAAACTCTATTTTAAAATAGATTTGTGATTATTTAATTTAGACACCCATGTTAAGTTGTAATTAAGATCCTAAATCAATAGATTAATTCTATAATACAAGATTATATTTTGCAGTTTTTAAAGAGAAATTGTGAACGAGAAAATTGTGGATTTGTATGAAGTTAAGAACAACCACAACCACAACCACACGAAAAAAGACATAAATTTATAAGCCACGGGATAACCGACATTGGCGCCTTGGTTTACTTCCCCAACGCGCTATTTAGTCGCGTGGCTCAAACTCTACATTTCTTAGTTGCTGCCGGTGCTCACAGCGATTGGATCCTAAGCGGCGACAGGGCGCAATTTAGTGATGCAGTGGACCCCATTATTTTAATATGCTTTTAATTATTATTTAATTGTAGTTGAAATTCCAATCTTGCATCATATTTAAAAAAATTAAATTAATCAATTTATTACATATAAAAAATATTAAAAAAAAGGTAAAATAAATCAACAACTTAGTATACATCCGATTTAAAGACGTATTTAATATAATATATATATATATATATATATATATATTAAAAGTTTAAGAATTTATTATATATTTGAGACGAATTCAGTAAAAAAAATATTTTAAAAAATAGTTATATAAATTTAATTTTCAAAATAGAAATTTTAATTTTGTGTTCAATATATTTTTTAATGAATTTTGTAAAGATTTAGGATTTATTATTTTATTTTATTTTTAGCATCTTTTAAATAGAAATAAATATAAAAATATCAACCCACATGAACATTTACATTCGTTTTGACTTACATTTTTGTAAACATTTTCTTTAACTAGCTAAATATGTAAGCAAGCACCATTATTTTTTGTTTTTAAAAAATAAAGCTTTATTTTCCTTTTTTAAAAAATTACAAAAATATTTTAAAAATTTATTGAGAACTTAAAATGTTATCCTAAGAAGCCGAAAATTACGAAACAAATTAATACAATTTTAAAAAATAATCTATAACTTGAATTTTCAAATGAATTAATTGAATGCAGTCATTTCTTTAATATATATAAAAAAACAAAAAAAAAAAACATCATATTGTTTTTTTTTTTTAATAATTAAACCCATTTCTCTTAATATTTAATAAATAATCTATAAACTTAAATAGGTCTATCAATTATATAAAAAAAATGTAAACTATTTGAAATTATTAATTGTATTTAGTGTTACCTGAGAAACTTTACGACAATTTCATATAAATAAATTATTTTCAACAATTTTATTACATTATTTAATTTTAGACAATTCAAATAAACAGTTTATTTATTTAATATGTTTTCATTATTTATAAAGGTAAGAAACTAATATTGAATAATGATTTGTAAATAACCCCTAATCTTGTGATTAGTGGATGTAAAAAACGATTAGCATGTAACATTCGTAAATTTAATTAAATTCCAATTTATTTTAATTATTTTTCCTCTTCCGTTGACAGACCTAGAAAACACGTGTCCACTCCCAGAGAGCGAGTAGCGATAGTTTTATACTCCCCGGTGGACGGTGGCATTTTCACACACTCGCCTCTCGTCCGCCTTTTCTCTCGCTCTCTGGTTCCTACTCTTTCAATCTCAATAAATACGCTCAGCCTCTCATTTCTCCATCACAACCCATTTCTCCATTTTTCACATTTCTTCAAGCTTTCTTCCTCTTTCCCGCAAGATTCCTTACAACACAGCGGGATTTTCAGCCTAGATCTGCAGAGTAGCATAGCAACAATGGCGTCCGAGAAGAGGGTAGATCTGGATGGCAACCCCATTAAGCCAATCACCATTTGCATGATTGGCGCTGGTGGCTTCATTGGCTCTCACCTCTGTGAGAAGCTTATGGCCGAAACCCCTCACAAGGTGCTTGCTCTTGATGTTTATAATGACAAGATTAAGCATCTTCTTGAGCCCGATTCGCTCCCCTGGGCCGATCGTATTCAGTTCCACCGTCTCAATATCAAGAACGATTCCAGGCTCGAGAGCCTCATTCGAATGGCGGATCTGGTTCGCATTCTATGAATTGTTCAATTTTTGTTTTGGCTTGTTTGAACAATTGGTTCTTCTTCGGGTCTATTGTGGATTCTGAGCAAATGTTCATTGTCATTTCTTTAAGTTTTAACTTCGTGTTTTATGAGATGTTTCGTGATTGGAATTTTCCTTGGCTTATGTAGACGATAAATCTTGCTGCGATCTGTACGCCTGCGGACTACAATACGCGACCGCTTGACACAATCTACAGCAATTTCATTGACGCAATTCCTGTGGTGTGTATGCGATGCATTACTCGTTCTTTCTAATTATCGTTTATTGATGTTTTGATTTGCATGTGTGCGCTACTTCTCAATTCAAAAAATTTGGTTATCGTTGAGAATTTGTGATTTGGCGTGTTTGATTTAATGTGCTTTCTTTTCAAGGTTAAATACTGTTCTGGCAACAACAAGCGTCTCATTCACTTTTCAACTTGCGAAGTGTACGGTAAGACGATTGGAAGCTTTCTTCCAAAAGATAGCCCTCTTCGTCAGGTAAGCCATCTCTTTCTGCTTTCTTTCTTTTTTTCCTCTTATTACATATAAATTCCTTCAATCCTTTCGATCTATAATCACTTTTGCCTTGTTAAATGACAATGCAATGTCCTGGATCTTGCAAAGTCGTTAGGAAACTTTCTTTGAATGGCCATGAAAGATTTGAAGAATTTGAACTTGAAATGAAAGTAGAAACAGCATCTTGTTTTTCTTCATGTTTCTGTAAAAAACTGTCAGATCTTGAAATTGAACCGATAATTCCCCTTATAAATGATTGAAAATTCTATACAAAATATTGTGGTTTGCACGACAATGTGGATGTCTGTGTGCTTTGATTCCTTATTTGGCTGAAATGTAGATTATGAATGGCTTTGTACTTGTAAATTTTGTAATGTAACTATTTGCTAAATTGATTTTTTTTTTTCCTGATTGGAAATATGAGGCTTAAATGTTGTGGCATCATCAAGCATTTTATTAATTTTCCAAGTTCTATCTTCGTTGGTTGACATATCAAGCCATCTTTTGTTCTACGAACCTTCTATCTTTTGTCATGTGCATAATGTTTTACCAATGTTATCTGTTCATTTATTCGGTTTTTAGCATTCTTAATGTGACTTCTGGTCTCGTCCTCTTACAATAGACTAATTGATGAGAGCAGGCTGAATATTGTAGTAATTTGTTTATGATAGGATCCAGCATATTTTGTTTTGAGTGAGAATTTATCTCCTTGCATCTTTGGTCCCATTGAGAAGCAAAGATGGTCCTATGCATGTGCGAAGCAATTGATTGAGAGGCTGATTTATGGTTAGTTTTCTTACTTTTATACTCTGTGGCTTTATGGGAATCAGTACTTGGAAAATGGGCAGATCTTAGCCTTTGTTCTTGTTTTTTCACAGCTGAGGGTGCGGAAAATGGGATGGATTTTACAATTGTTAGACCCTTTAACTGGATTGGGCCAAGAATGGACTTCATTCCTGGCATCGATGGCCCAAGTGAGGGTGTTCCGAGAGTTTTAGCTTGCTTTAGCAATGTATGTACTGCTAGTTTTCTGCCTTTGGCTTCTACTTCTCCTAGTGACTCTCGATTCGAAGATTGATGGTGTTTGATTTTCTGATTTTGCAGAATCTCCTACGCCATGAGCCACTGAAGCTCGTGGATGGTGGCCAATCCCAAAGAACTTTTATATACATCAAAGATGCGATTGAAGCAGTTCTTTTGATGATTGTACGACATTCCTCTGCTTTTCTTTGATTTCGAACCCAAAGTTTTTGGTATCTGAATTGTTTATTGCCTGTTCAGGAAAACCCAGCTAGGGCCAATGGTCAAATCTTCAATGTGGGCAATCCCAACAATGAAGTAACAGTGAAGCAGCTCGCCGAAATGATGACCGAGGTGGGGGAGAAGCGTTTTTTGGTTTAAGTTTAAATTTTCCTTTGCTTTTGTTTGATGAAGAAGAAAGGTAAGAAGTTGTTTGCTTGGACTTCGATAGGTTTATGCAAAGGTAAGCGGGGAACCTTCTCTCGAGAAACCGACAATCGATATAAGCTCTGAAGAATTCTACGGTGTGGGTTATGACGACAGTGACAAGAGAATTCCTGATATGACCATCATCAATAAGCAACTTGGTAGGG